ACGTGATCGATTCGGTCCCTAGAGTGGATGAACGCCCATCTACAACGTTGGCTGACCTGAACCGATTGCCCGGACCTGGAGTGCAGCCCGGACCTCATGCGAGTTCTCATGTTTCTCTTGTAGAAAGCCTGTCCGTGGAGGCTGGTGCTGGACAGTTCAGCGCCTCCGGTTCGTTCGTCCCGCACGCGAAGTTTAAGCTTACCTGCCTCACAAAGTTAGCGACGAGTCTGAAGCCATGCCTTGCAGCATTGGCTGTCGCTCGAGGTTGCAAGGACAACGAGGTATGATTGGGCTTCAATTCGTCATGACAACAGAATGGCTCTCCATTCTAAAGTTCGGAGGTTTGATGAGCACGCGGATGACTTCCTTCGGAAATGCTCTGCACTTTACCATCTTTATCAAGACGTTTACAAGGATGAGGCCTCCGAGAGAAGGGTTATGGTTCGCGCGGTTGTCAACAAGTTGCCTGAGAATCTACGCTTGGATGTAGATATTTGTGAGACTATCCTTCGAGTCGACCATTCTGATGATTATGTTGGTGTCTCACATGAACTCGATCTTGTCGAAGATGTACCCTTGTCTACTCTTGATTCTCCTCGCTTCTTAAGGTCTAAGCGCTACCCACCTGAAATTATCATACGCGGGAAGATCACTTCTCCCTCGGATGTGCGTTCTACCCTGCCCACACCGGTCTTTATCGATTCGGGGGCCGGTCTTAGCTAACTTTTGTTGTCGGACTGGTCCGATCTGTGCTGCGGCCCTGGCTCTGCGTTCGGGAAGTGTGAAGCAGATTTGAGCTCTGTTCGCCTTGCTGATGGTTCTAGGTGTGAAGTGTCCGCCGTCGTTGAAACCATCCTTGGATTGTTCCCGCATTATTGTGCTGATCCTCTTGTCCTGGGCGAGGTTCTTATCCGACTCCGTGTTTTGGTTGTGATATCCTTCTGTTTCCCACAGTGTTGGAGTAGGAATATACGTTCGCTTTCCTCAGTGGAGCTCAGAAAATTTTGCTATACAGTTTTGAAGTAGGAATGTATGTTCGCTTTCCTCAGCTGAGCTCGGGATCACATGCAAAATCGAGTAGTAATGTACAAGAAACCACAATATTTTTCTCCGAATTTTTATATTTTCAAAGCATACATAGCGAAAACTCTGCGAGAATATAAATAATCCATATCCTAATATGTGAACTGGAGTTCTTTTCAAAGCAAACAGCCGTAAGCGGAATATGTGTTCATAAACCCGTAATTTCTGCTTCTCACTCACTACGACAGAATGAAAATTTTGAGAAATTTTTGGGAAGTTCTTGTTTGCTTCTGAACATTTCTACCTCTACCATAATTGTCGAGGAAACTCCTGAGCTCACCTGAGGAAAGCGACCGCATATTTCGCTACTATGCGTTACACACGCTACCACAACTATGCAAATGTTACAACACTTCGATGATTTACATATTATACCCAAATAGTCCGA